CCAACACAAGAAGTTTGATTAACAATCCCTTTATTTCTAAAGAATAATTTCATGTCACCTTCAGTAAGTTCTAGTGCATTATCGCTTCTGATTTGTTTAATTTGAAATCCAAATTGAGTTTCAATCAAAGAATAAAAGCATGACAAGTTTCATTCTTGTGTTTTAATAAAAATGTCCAAACTGTTCTAGTACAGTCATCCACAAGAGTTAAGAAAAAGTGAGCCCCCCATGTATCAATATGAACCAAATGAAAAGGAGTCATAGATTTATTAATCCTTGGAGAAAAAACTTGTCTAGAAACCTTCGCCAAAGGGCACGCAATACATTCTTGGCAAATTTTATCAAAACAAATATGAGAAAAGTTGGGTATTGATACCAACCGGTCGTGTGAAGGATGTCCTAGCCTTTGATGCTAGAGAACAACGGATCCTGAAACCGTATTAGCTTTGCCGTGATGAGACTTAGCATAGTCTGTAGTGAAGTAGTAAAGACCATTCTATTCCTTACCTACCCCAATCAGTTTCCTCGAGTGTAGGTCCTGAACAACACAAAAATCAGGAAAAAATTGGGCAACACAATTGTGTTCTTTGGTGAGACGACTGACAGAAATAAAATTACAATGAAAACTTGGAGCATGTAAAATATTATGCAAAGTAATCAGGGAGTTCAAATGGTGATTACCATATTCGTAAAGTTGTTTCACAGTGGCATCAGGTAGAATATATTAGTGGATTTTTTTTTAACTAGGTCAAACAAGAAAGTTTTATCACCTATAAAGCAATGAGTAGCACCTGTGTCTAGTAACCAAGTGTAGCAAGAGGACGAGGAATTTGGAGTTTAGGGATGGGTTATGTTACCAGCAAAATTAATTGAGCCAAAGCCAGAGTTTTTGTCACCATTCAACAATGACAAAAGTTGCTCATACTGTGCAGCTATCAAATCACTAACTGAAGTAGTGGAAATTGAAGAATTTGTTGTATTATCCGAGCACACATTTGCAGTGGTGGGATTTTTCCTTGAAGACTGCCAATTATTCGAATACCCTATAAGCTCCCAACACCTATCTATTGTATGACCAGCTTATTACAATGATAACATCATAATTTGGGCTATTTCGAAGATTGATTTCCACTCTGATGTGGTTGGCCTTGCGTCGTCGAACTTGAAGCATCTCAGAACTGTATTGAGATGGTTGCTGTCTAACAAAACTAGATCATGGTTGCTGCTGCTGTTATTGAACATAGAAAGCTCCTGCCCCATCAGAATCTTGTGGACCAAGAAGACTCAGTTGTTTCTCTTCCATCTTAACCATGTTGAATATACGATTAAGTGAAGGAAGAGGCTCAATTGCCAATATTTGAGATCCAATCCCATCAAAAATTGGTGTGAGCGCTCTTTATCCCTTTCAGTAGGCCATTCTTTCAATCCCCCATATGAGCAATTTGGAAGTTTTGAATAGGCAATCAACTCATCCCATAAGGCTTTAAGTTTGGAGTAAAAAGCGGCCACCAAAGCTGTTCCTTGAGTAGACAAAGCAATGTCCTTTCTTATGTCATAGATTCTGGGTTCATTGCTTTGACCAAAACGTTCTTCCAAATCCACCCAAAGTTCCCTAGCCAAGTCATGATAAGTGATCGAATAATGCAGATTTGGACTAAGTGAATTGATAAGCCAGGAAGAACTAGCCCATCACATTTACTCCAAAACAATGCTTCATGGCTTCCAACTTTCGGTTGCGGCAATTCTCTATTCACAAATGGGATTTTATTTTTGCTTCTCAAAGAATTCAAAATATTTTGTTTCCACCATTGATAATTGTCACTGTCAAACAACGTTGGGACTAACGAAGCATTGGTGTAATCGGCAGAAGTCAAAAAATATGGAGAACTTGGATCACAAAAAAAATCACCAGTCGAGGAGTATCTTGGATTCTGTGATTTGATTTGCTCCGCCATTATTCCACGAACATAACAAGAAGAAACAAAAAAAATCAAAATATGAAGAGAAGAGCAAGAAGGATCATTGCTCTGATACCATGACAAAAGGTGGCAATCTTATTCATAGAAAAAACTAGTAAGTGCCATGTACAACTGAAAGTTTATAGAAAAATAAATAGCATACTTCTAGCCTAACGTACGTGCTGGAATACTACACTAATTCTATCATTATCATACAACTGGTTTTATATAGGAATACAAAAACTAATTCTATCTTAATCATATAGCTGTTACAAGAGATAACAAGGAATAAGGACGAGGTACGCTAACAGGTTTTTATGTTCTCGCATGAGTTGAGTGAGAAAACCCAACGGTGGATACAAGAAGCCGAGATTTTCGTAGGCACCATTTTTGGAATAGAGAAGTGTTTCTATGAGAAAATTTTTAGAGATCTGGGATTATCTGAGGATTCTGCTACTAACAGTTTTGTGCTCATAATAGAAGGGGTTGCTGCCGAGTTGCTCGACTTTCCAGACTCTCTATTAGCCAGTCACCGATTGCCCCAGTGACCAGATATTTTGTTGCCCTTATATCATGAACTAACCAATCTAATTCCACATCTGATAGCATATTTTGACCAAGATGCATGCCCAGCAAAAGCCATATGCAATTTTGCCGCTAAGATTACGCTCGACTGAAACAGCAAATGACAAAAAACCTTTCTGCTACAGAGAAACAAGTCGTGAACACGACAATATTTGACTCTACCATCTGACCTCCTTTTGGCAAATGTTATTGAGCTTCTTCCAATCAGATTTGTCAAGTAATCCTCCATAAGATCCTTCAAGGTCTTTGAACCTTTCTCCTGGATAAACCCTTTGAAGGAAATTAAACCAATCTATTTTAATATTTAGTTTCCTAATTCTTTTTCGTGTTTTATTTGTTTAGTTTCTATATTAGATTAGGAAATCTAAAATCAGTTTCCAAGTAAGTTTTGGTTTACAATTTTATTTGTCTTAGGAAGTTTTAGAATTTATAAATATTGTCAATCTAGTAAGTTATTACTTGGAAAGTTGAGTTGAATCTAGAGACTGGGTTTGAGATAAAGTCTCATAGTTGTAATTTGTAAGTTATAGTGAGCGAAGGCTACGACTTAGTATTATTATTGTTGAGTTTTGAGTCAATTAAATTATTGAAAATTTATTGAGTATTTGTTCTCTTCCTCTTTCCACATATTTTTATGTGTCAAAATTACTTCCGCTCTGCGCGTTTTTTTTGGGCCTACAAGTGATATTAGAAGCTAGGCTTTAATCCTGGAGATTGTGGTTTGTTCATGAAATTAAAGTATGGATCCATATTATTTAACCACATTGTGGCATTTTTATCTTTGATGGTAAAAACTCTTTTGGAATTTGGAGTTGGATCATGAAAAGGTTTTTTTGACTTATTGGAATTTAGAATATTATCCAAAAAGGGTTCACGGAACCTATACGAGGCATATGAAATCATCAGGTGATGCAATCAAAGAGTTAGAGAGGAATAGACAGTTGGATTGTAAGGCATTCTACTATCTTAACACTCAACTGTAGCCGTATGTAGTGAATAAATTCATACATGCAATGATGGCAAAGGAAGCTTGAAAATTTTTAATAAATTCTTATTGTGGTCATGGTGAAAAAGAAATTTGTGACAAGAAAAAAAAAAGAATTTTTTGATGAGTCAAAAAAAGAAGAAATTGCAGAAGTTATGGGTGCACATAAAGATGAGGAATTTCTTCAAAAGAAATTTTGCAAGTGGTTGATAAAGAAAGCGAAATTATTAGTGAAATTACTGATGTAATTGAAGATTATGGTAACGTAGAAATTGTTAATTTTGTCGGGATTGATGAATTTTTTGAAATGAAAAATCAAATGATAAACTTGGTTAAAAACAATAGTGAGGCAGACAATTAGTTGAGTTTTATGGGGTAACTAAAACTAATGTGGTTATTGGTATGGACAAATCAAAACAAGTTCATGATAATGTTGAAATTTTTGGCAGTGAAACGTATGATTTCGTGATTTCAAGAAATTTTCTCGATCGACATGGATGAATTGAACTATGGAGTATGCAATGAAGCATGGGTGAACATGTTTGACTTTTTGACAGAAGTGATCAAGCCAAGAAATTGTTCGAGAAATACAAGTTTTGTCAACTACCACACGTGAAGATGAAATTGAAGATCAATTGCAAGTTGGAGTTCCACATCATCTATACAGCAATTGAATTTTGCATGGAAATTTAAGCTTGTGATGGCATTGTAGATAGCAACATCAAGAGTTTAGAATAAGGGAGGCAATGAAGGAAATTAAACCAATCTATTTTAGTATCCTAATTCTTTTTGGTATCTTATTTGTTTAGTTTCTATATTAGATTAGGAAATCTAAAATTAGTTTCTAAGTAAGTTTAGGTTTACAATTGTATTTGTTTTAGGAAGTTTTAGAATCTATAAAAATTGTCAGTCTACTAAGTTATTACTTGGAGTTGAGTTGAATCTAGAGAGTGGGTTTGAGAGAAAGTCCAATGGTTGTGATTTGAAAGTTGTCCTGAGCGAAGACTACGACTTAATATTATTATTGTTGACTTTTGACTCAATTAAACTATTGAGAATTTGTTAAATATTTGTTCTCCTCGTCTTTCCACATATTTTTATGTGTCAAAATTACTTCCGCTGTCCGCATTTTTTTTGTGCCAACACCCTTCCACCATCCATAGCCATGTGAAATTTGAATTGGAATCTCCTTGTCTTCTTGAAATACTACAAGGCAAAGAAAGCATGCTTTGAGACAATCTGGCAAATTCTTGTAACTCAGTTCTAAGATTTGCATGCATCGTGTCTGAGGATCACTGGTAATGAGTGGATTCAAACTACGCGCAATTTGTTTCCATGATTCTCATGTTTCTCCCTTTAAGGAGACCTGCAATTGCAACAAATGAAAGAGGCAGCCCTTGGCAGTTCCTGGCATTGGCCTTCTTGACTTCCCATAGTTCCTCAGAGCAGCATTGTTTAGGAAATATCTTCATTCATTGTAACTCCCACGCATCATCATCAGAGAGTGGACGAAGATTAAAAAGATTACTTTCTAGAGTGACTTTGAAAACCATACCAGAGAGACTACTGGTTATCAAAATTGTACTTCCATTTTGGTCATTTGGGAAAGAGCTCTGTAAGTCATCCCATGCCCCAATATCCCACATGTCATCCATAATGATAAGGTACCGATTTCTCCCCAAGCTTTGACACAATAGCAATTCCAAATCTTCATGTTCCATTGAATGGATATTATCAACAAGCTCAATAATGTGGCTCAAAATTTCAAGCAAGAGGTCTCTTTTGGTGTATACTTGTGAAACATAACACCATGCACGAGTATGGAAGTACCCGACAATTTCAGGGTCATCATACACTTTGTTAGCCAAAGTTGTTTTACCGATTCTAGGCATTCCAACAATGGAGATAGCATCTCTATGCAGTGATCCTCTTGTAAGTCGATTAACTATTTGCCTTCTGCTGATCATTGAGAATCACCACATCGTCACCAGTTCCAGTGGCTCTAGTCTATGGAATCTCGTGCCTTGTAGTCTGGACAGCATTCTAGACTCCCACATCAAAGGCCTTGCTTTGAAATGTTTTGACCTGAATCTTAATGAGTCTGTTCTCTTCTGAGATGTGAAAAAGCCACAGAAATTGGTTCCACTAATCACCATTTTTGACTGCCGACGAATCAATGACAGACTCTGCCTCATATGCCACATGAATAAGACGTGTACAAAGTTCCTTCAATCCTTGATTCTCTATGTCCTTCTCTATGAAATCTATTAAATAAGATACCAAGAATTCAAAATCATTACTACTCCCTCCGTTCCATAGAAGTGTCATATTTTCCTTTTCGGTCCGTCCCAAAAATTAGTGTTACTTGCCAATAATGGCAATAAAAACTTTCACCGATTTCCATTGATGCCCTTAAATCTTACAAGAAGATTATTATATTTTAGTGGGCCCCAATGTTCACCTATGAAATAGAGAATTTTCATTTGATGGTACGTGAGTGTCACGTTAGAACTAGCATGATTCGTGCATTGCACTTTCACCAAAGGAGCTTGAATACATATTATAGGTATGGGCCCCACAATCTTATCACCACTCTATCCTACCTTGAATGGAGCAACACATCAGGCTACATAGCTAATTCAAGCAGGGCATTCTTGGAACATAACCCATAACCTTTTGAAATCTAAGCACTGTAGGAAAAATGTGAGATTCCCAAAGCACGACCAATTTATTGGAGTGGAGGGAGTATATAAAAAGTTTAATGAGTCTTGGCAAGGGAGTGTAAGTGTAAGCATATTTTGATTTTAGTTTTTATTATACTTAAATTACCCTCATGTCTTTTAATTAAAGTTATTTACATTTTAATCATAACACTAATAAGAAAAATGAAAAGTTTCAATAAATTACATCTAAAAAATATTGATAATTAAAATTAAAAACTGCCTACTTATAATTATATTGACCAATCATATTCTTCATCTCCAATTATTATATTCTTATGTGTGTTAATTAAAGTTAACTATATTTTATATACATATTGGTTTAGAAGAAAATCATAATTAATAAAAAAGCAAAAGATTATAAACAGTTAATGAGAAAGCAAAAGGTTAAATTGATGATTAAATTAACTATATTATATCATATTGACTAAGAAAACTTCAAAAAAATTATTGATAATTATTAAAAATATAGCAGAAAAGGTTACAACTACTAAAATTGATAAAAACTTATTGTAACCAAATCATAACATCTTAGTATGTATTTTACTCAGGTTTTGTTGTATACACTGATTTGATAGAACATAGAAAACTTCCTCTTCTTACTATCACAATCCAAGTAAAATATGCAACATGATAATCTTCCATCTTCAGAGTTCAATAAATTTTTAATTGCTTTGTACATAATAAACATTTTCTACAACTAGCAATGCTTAATTTTGCTTATTATATAGTTTCTTAGTCAATATTACACCAATAACTTAGTTTAAATATGATAATCATCTATCTTCAGAGTTTTTATAAGTATAGAATGCACAATAAACTTTTAATTGTTTTGTACACAATAAACTTTTTGTACAATTACCAATTGATTAATTTTGTTCATTATATAATTTCTTAGTTTATATTGTGCTAATAATCAAAGGTTTGCACAAAATTTAATATATTAAAGGTTTTATATTTTGGAAAAATATATTCACGTGCAAAGCATGCACTTGAGGTATTACTGGCCCTCAAAAATGGTTTGAATATGATGGGTCAAATGTGCGACTAAGGGAAAATGGCCAATTTCGTCCCTAAACTTTTTTTCATTGTCAATTTAGTCCATGTATAATTTTTTTGGCCAATTTGATCCCTATACTTATTTAGCGGTTCCAATTCAGGAACTCCGCGGCAGCGGCACCATATAAATTCAATCAAATCACTAATTGAACAATTAACTAGGGGTATTTTGGGCAATTCACTATTGGGGCAGTAACAAAAGAAGTAAAATTCTTGAAGGACCCAATTCTAAACCTAGAGTTGGGTGCTGAGATTTATGTCGGCAAGATTCCAATCGAGTTTTGAGAATATCGGGGCTTTATTGAAGAAGCTCCACTGGATTTCAATTTCCTCTACTGTTCTGCTACTGACTATCACCACTCGGAAATCCCTTTCCTCTACAAACCAGCAGAGCTCTTCTCTTCTTTTCCCAACTATTTCGATACGTTTGAGGCCCAAAAGGACTTGTTCTGGAGTTAAGTGTTTTGGGGACTTCACATATAGCGATTTTTATCACTTTTTTTGTTCTTCAGAGGGCCTTATACCTGATATACACCCCCTTTTCTTTTATTTTTTTGGAAGAATTGAAATTATCTTAGGTAGCTGATTTTTGTTTAATTATGTTGCGGGGATACAAGCACATTCTTGAGGATTTTCTGGGTATTGGAGGAGGTGTCAGTGGAGGAGCAAGTGGTGGTGCTGGAATTGGAGGAGGTGCAAGTGGTGGTGCTGCTGCTGGAGGTGGCGTTGGAGGAGGTGCTGGTGGAGGAGGTACAGGTGGTGGTGCTGCTGCTGGAGGTGGCATTGGTGGAGGTGCTGGAGGAGGTGTAGGTGATGGTGCTGGTACTGGAGCTGGTATTGGAGGAGGTACCGGTGGAGGAGCAGGTGGTGGTGGTAGAGTTGGAGGCAGTGCAGGTGGTGATGCTGGTGCTGGAGATGGCATTGGAGGAGGTGCAGGGGGTGGAGATACGGGTAGAGCAGGCGGGGGAGTAGGAGGAAGGGCCGGTGGAGGCATTGGTGGTGGTGCCGGAGGTGGAGCAGGTGGAGGTGTAGGAGGAAGGACTGGAGGAGGCCTTGGTGGAGGTGCTGGAGGTAGGGTCGGTGGCGGAATAAGGGGTGGAGCAGGTGGTGGCTTTGGGAAAGGTGGAGGTATAGGAGGTGGTGCAGGCGGTGGTTTTGGGGCTGGAGGAGGTTTTGGTGGAGGGCATGGGGGATTTGGTAAGGGTGGAGGAGTTGGCGCGGGCGGTGGATTCAGAGGCGGGACTAGTCCTGGAATTGGACGTTGCAAATTGTGATCTCATTGACGCGGTTGGAAAGAAACAAAGCAAAACTGGGCAATTTTTAAGCAATGGGAGAGGAGTTTGGACAGCTTTGGAGACTTTGTTAGTCAAGAACCCAAGGTTTAGAATTGGGTCCTTCAAGCATTTTACTTTTTTGTTACTGTCCCAACAGTGAACTACCCAAAATACCCCTATTTAATTATTCAATTAGTGACTTGATTGAATTTATATGGTGGCGCTGCAGCAGAGTTCTTCAATTGAAACGCTAAATAAGTATAGGGATTAAATTGGCCAAAAAAATTATACATGGACTAAATTGACAAGGAAAAAAGTTTAGGGACGAAATTGGCCATTTTCTCGTGCGACTAAATCACGATTCGATTTCAGCAGCTGTTTTAATTTTTGCTGTAGAAACTCAATGAAGCATGGTGCAGGATTCTTGGGGAAATTTAGTATTGGGACTTGAAGATAAAGCTCTTCACGCTTTGCCTTCAAAACCTGAACCTTTTTTAGCATATCAGATAGCCAAAGACCAATTTTATTCATAGGTTCTTCAATGATTTCATCAGCTGGAAAAGAATTATAGAGAGATGTTAATCCAAAAGCCAATTATTCCATACATTTCAAGGTGAGTCTCTTATTCTCTGAGATTTCTTTAAACTGAGTGAAGATAATTTCTATCACCATTGTGAGTTCCGATTTGGCACTTCATAAGGAACGTGAAACTTGCATAACCTTTGAGCAAGTTCGATAAAAATTCCTTGATTTTTATTTCTCTGTCCCAATCTACTCTTGGAACATTGTAGCCAGACTCCTTCTCCTTTGGAAGGAATCCATTGGTCCAGCATGGAACCTAATAATACGTACTTTTTCTGGCTTTAGAAGACTTGGTCGATTACTTCCCTCTGTATACTGTTTACTAGCCGGACCCAGCTGACTTGCTTTCCTCGGCTCTTACTCCTGCACTCGGTGTAGTATGTTCTACTACTGAAAACGAAAATTGGAATCATGGTTTGCCATATCGGCTGATACCGATACGTATCGGGCGAGTCGTAACTGGAACGAAAGGGACCGGTATGATACCGATTCCCGAATTGCGGATATTACTATATTCATGACGACTTTCTCTGACTCGACCGATATTAGCTGATTCGAATCCGTGATGCATGATATCAGTTGATATATCCGAATCAATTAGGAGTCGACTCGGATATTTTTTTAAATTGTGCATTTTTTGATATTTTCTAATTTTAGTAATTTGTTCAAAATTTTTGGAAACTTTCATTTGTTATAATGTGCGTATCACCCGATATGTCATGACGGATATGGAACAACCAAGACCACGACGCAACCACGACCCGTGATAGCGAACCATGATTGGAATCCGGCTGGCTTACTTTCCTCGGCTCTTACTCCTGCACTCAGTGCAGTATGTTCTACTACTGAAAATGAAAATTGGAAGAAAATAAAACACGCAGACATACAGTAAGTCAGTAACCACCCATCAGAAGCTTACTCTGACCATCTTCTTCTTTCCCTCGCCCAAAATCCCTCCTAGCCCAGCCTAAATCGAACTCCTCTTTTCTTTCAGACTCCCACGCCACGCTTTTTCTCTATGCAATCTTCAGTACACAAATTGCTGCATACAACAGATATATCGCCCAACAGCAATTTTGATGCTCTTTGTTTGTTGCCTGCCATATCCAATTCCCTTCCATCCTTTGATGACAATTTCCAACCGCATTTTTGCATTTCCTAAGCACTTCTCCGAGCCGGCCTTTCCGCAGCCCCTCCTGCAACTTTTTAGCAAAGTCAAGAGACATAATTACAGTATCGAGACGTTGGGACCTTGATTTCTGACAGGTTGTCGATGCCTGTGTAATAATAAAATTAAATCTAGTTGTCAATTAAAATAATCAAATTCCAATTCAAGTACTGGAGTAGGGACTCTAGATGTGCAATGGGTTACTTGATTCATCCTGTTCCCGAAGAGTTTGCTTGATCCGATATACCCGAATGGAATGGCTTTTTCACAAATAATTATTAATTTGTAAACATGACAAGTAGGGTCGTATTCTCAAGGACTGAGGGTATTTGTCTCTTTAGAAATCCAAAGTAACAAGGGGGTATTTTTGCATAAAGGATGACAATTAAAATAGTTCAACTAAAAATGAAATAGCCAACTAAAAATTAAATGACAACTCGCTAAAATTAGAGTAATGATACTTAAAAATCTAGCCAAGAAATAACTTCAGCAATAGTTTACCTAATTGATCATCGATGCAAAGGCAATTCCAATTATTTACTGATAAATGGGTTATAACTGTCAAACAAGCGATGACAATCAACCCCTCCTTACTGTGTCGGTGATTAAGGTACGTCCGTTAATCACTGCTCTAATTGAGGAATAATCTTAGGTACGCCCGTAAGATTTAATTCCCCAATTGCCTTATGTATTAGAGGAGCCATGTTCTAACCAAATAATGCACTACCAAGGTTATTTCAGATTAACTCGCATATTCCCCTGATACAAACCCAATCATGCCAGTTGTCACTATTTCAAGACAATTAAACAATTATGGATTTGATGCCCTAATTGACAATAGGTTACTAAATTAATTTACTATCCGGATCCAAGATAATCAATTAATTAATTAATCATAAACACTGCAATCGAAAAGTATGCGAATACCAATAAATAAGAAGAAAAGATAAAATTAAATTGATCTCACAATTTTAGACAACCCAAAGCATCCGTTGTTTCTTGATTAGAAAAAGAAAATTAGTTCATATTTGATGCGAAAAATCCACGCACAACTGAAGAGAAAGTAGCAGTCATCATCCTTCGATTGAGAAAAGCTCACTCCGTTCAATTGATGAAGGAAACGTAAAATACAGAGAGTGACTAAGTCCTTCAATTGCTCCTAACATGCATAGGAGGAATCCACCAAAGACCCAAGGGAAAAGCCTAAAGAAAAGCTACAGGGAATCATTCAGTTGCTCCTAATTGCCTCTGACATTCGTGCAGAGCAAAGAGCTACTAAGAATCCAAAGAAAAATCAAAGCTTCAAAACTATAAGGGTAGTCCTATTCTTTACGCCTATTTCCTATCTAAGTCTCCTTCCGATGCTACTGTGCGGCAGCTCCAGCAGAGGCCGACTTCAGCCTTTCGGTTCTTTTTTTTTTCTTGCTGTTTTCGGCCAGCTCACGTCTCTTTGTTCCAAAAATGCCCTTGAATGCCTTCTATTTGAATTCTTTCCCGATGACAGTCAAATTGGCATTAGTTGTGACATTTTCATTTTACTCTCTCAAATAAATGCAAATTATGAAAAGTGAGTGGAATCTAATAATTAATCCACATCAGGTTAGCTAATAGAAAAAATTAATAATAAAATAAATAATAAAATCGCAACCTATCAATTCCATTCACACCTAAACCATGCTTATCCTCAAGCATGATAACAGCAAACAAACACCAATATTTAGCAATGGCTGTTGCTCTATCTATCATATTGCCAAAACACCAAGTAAAACATAAATCAAGCCTCAGTGATCCAGATCCAAGAAATGTCACCCCGGTTAGCTTCTCAACCACAAACTCCTTCAATTCCAGGTTAACTAATCTAAGAAAAAGAAATGGCGCACAACATTTATCAGCAAATGGTCCAACTATTAACTAAAATCTCAACATTAATTCTATAATTTGGCAAGCTGACTTATATCACACTAACACAACCTTCACTTTTTTCTCTTTTTTTTCACGTTTTCAATATTTTTTTTTCTTTTTTTTCAATAGCACAAAGGACTTAGTCTCTAACCATTGGAGCTTTTTGACGCGAACTCTAACATTTGCCAGATGGAGGAGTCCAGTTACTCAGTTCCTATCGCTATACGACCACATACTCATAGAAATTGCTACTTTTTTACACGATAATCGACACTTTAGATGAAAATCCCCGATTACTCAGTAGTAACTAATAGCGGAGTACAGTCAACCTTATTTCACAGCCAGGTATACGATAACTCAAAATAACACATAAAAAATAAACAAAAACAACAGTTATTAGCCTCATTTCTTCAAATATGGAGAACTAAAGTTAATATTGGACCAATTCACATGAAAATGCCAACAATCATTCTCTAAGTCTAGAAAAGTTAATCAAAAATAAAAAAAAAGTCAAGCAATCACCGATATTCACCAAAGAGGTGTTCTTGGACTCAACCACTTTATCTCGATACACTTTTATTATTAAAACTTGGCTATAGTGAAATTGGAGGTAACAATCCAACATCAAACTTCGACAGTCATAGGAGAGCTGGACAGTTAAATGACAAAAAAGTAACGAAAACTAGACAAATAACAACCTTAAAAAAAAGAAAAACACCCAAAAATTGAAACTACTAAAAACTAAAAGCTATAAACACTGGTACCCCATCTGATCCCCCCACACCTAAATGACACATTGCTCTCAATATGACAAATAAACATCAATAGCAAGAAGAAGGGCAATGAGGCTTCCCTGAAGTCGTCAAAACAGTGGCTGCATAAATGCTGCCAGATTCTGGGCGATGTTGGCCACATTGTGATCAATATTGATCATCCGATCCTCCAGATTATGAACCTGCATCCGGAGTTGGTGTCAATCAGTAGCCCCTGGGGATGGAGGAGCCTGAGAGGAGATAGACGGGCCAGGGTCACCACCAGCAGTGGAAGAACGGGCAAAAGAGGATCGCGAGGGGACACAAGGCGGTCCCGGGTCAGTGAATCGATAGACTCCGTCGACGTACTAGAGAACTCCCATCCTCTCCAAGCACTCCGCACCCAGAAATTTCATTTCAAACGCCAAGTGAAGGTCGTGATTCTGTAGATTGAGAACCCCTAACTGCACTACCAAGTGTGTAATGTAAGACCCGAGAATCAGGGGTTTGTTCTTCTTGGTTAAAATGGTCTTGAACTGTGCCGACAGCCAACACCCCAGATTCACCTTGACATTGTTCTGCATACACCAAATGAA